AATTATAATACGTTAGTATATATATATTTATACAAATTATATTTCGAATAATTACTTAATAATGTTGGAGTTAAATATTGACACGCGGAATAATAAAGGGAAAAATGATAAGCCGGCCGAATCATATATCAATGTCGATTAATCAGAAAACTAAAATAAAAAGAGAACAATATAATTTAAAGAAAATATGGGTTAGGCCAAATCATGTTACTTGGAGCACATGGATGTCATGGAACCATCATCCAATTTCAATCTTCTTTACCTATAAGAAACAACTAAACAGCTCATTGCTTCTCTCACATCTACTCATTTCACACAAATACATATATTAATCAATTTCTTATGGACAAATATCATACAGATGAGGTGTACAAAGAGAGGAAAGAACATAATTATAGGAAAGGATCATTAATTCTTTGAAGAAAAAAAGACACATTCATTGAATGAGCACATTGCAAAATTTGAATCCTAAGTCTTCAATAAATAAAGAAATTAATACTATAACAAAAACAAAAAAAAAGACTATAACAAAAAGAGATATATAGAAATTACTTATATCTACATAAAAGTGCACCAGATAAACTGATTTTTTTATTAACTAATTAATACTCCATTAGAAAAAAAAAACTTTATAAAAGTTCTCGCTTGTGAGAATAAATAATTTAATAATTTTTAAAAATCCTTTTACGAATGTTTTCTATTTTTCAGAAAGAACAAAAAACAGTCATATAGTCATATTTTTTGTGTGAAAGATATATATTCATATGTTTCGATGCTAAAATATGATAAATCTAATTGTTTGTGATTATTTTGAAAACGAAAAACAGATATAGTGACCATATAGTAGACGATATATTTGCCGTCCTTGAGAAATAATAAGTTGGGCTTTCCAAATTCATGTCCAACTCTTCTCATTAGTATGATATTGTCCGTTTTGGACAGAGGTAAAGCCCGCACAGATTTGTTATTAGACTCTTTCCCAAAAGATCGCATACTGAGTATAGTTAGACATCTCTTATATATTAGACAATTTTTATCTAAACTTCCGATGTGAGACTTGGATTGATATATATCCCAATATAATACAAATCCAAAATAGTGCGCATTGCCCTGTCCAACTATTTCTTCCATTTTAACTATTTATATGTACATAGTTGATGAACTAAAACATTTTACGTGGCACTAATCAATTCCATAGTACAACATAACACATGTATTATATACCTTCTCAACATTAAACCTAAATTGATTGTGGGATGTATAATAAAATAATAAAACAGTATAATTAAATTATTCAATGCGTTGGTGTAAAGTGACATGTACACACTTGGCCTTACATGCGTACTCGTGTATATAAACATTAAACACTAACAAATGTAATTCACAAGTCACACATCAAAAACAACAATAATCAGCAAAAACTATTATTTTCTTCTCTTCATTTGCTTTCTCTGAATCTCAAATCCAAAATACTAACAATGGAGGCAATGAAGATGAAGCTTTTCGTGGCGGTTTTGGTTGCGATGATAGCGTTCTCTGCGGTTCAACAAGCGGCTGCAGCGGTTGAGGCTCCGGCGCCAAGCCCTACCTCCGATGCTTCATCGTTCATCCCTACGTTCCTCGCCTCCATTGTGGTCTTGGCCTCTGGATTGCTCTTTTAAGACGTTTTTTTTT